TGAGTCGCGGTCACTCTACACAGCCAGTGTCTCTCCGACTCTCGCCTGCCCGTTCGAATGATCTGAACGGGCTACTCCGTCGTGGATTTATCACTCGATGTATTGTCCCGATCGTCATTCTCCCGCGGGCCGCCGCGCCATAGCTCTCTCCCCGCCGTTCCTTAGTTGCTAGCTACACCTGTACATTATCCATAGAATTCATGGATGTCTACCACTATGAGCTGCCCATAAACCTGCGTATGCGCCTGCGCTCATGCCCAACGGCGCGGCTGGGCTGCTCTGGCCTGACTCCCGCAGTTGCGTACCGAATGATCCCCCGACGTGAAACCATCAAAAAAGCTATTTGAAAAAGTTCTATAGGCTCTATATAGGCGTATATAGAGGCGAGCAGTCTATGGCTCCTACGGCTCTATACGCCCTATATAGAGCCCCATAGCCAGACTGCACTTCCAGATGAGCGGCGAGCTCGCGTCGCGTGCACAGCCCGCTCGCGCGCTCGCCGGGCGCAATTGATGCGCCTTCCCATTCAGGAACGCGGTTGATCGGCGCCCGCGCGGGTGAGCGCGCGCGCCGCCGCTGCTGGCAGGGACCCTCTCGTCGCTCCCGGGTCGCGCAAAACATGTATATTAGGATAAATACTACATATACTGAGTGAAAACGTGTAAGAGGGGATGATTAATGCAAGCGGCGAGAAGCGCAGCGAAAATTTTCGCCGGCCCTCGCCGCCGCGCGCGTCCAGCGTGCGCTGCCGTTCTGGGGTATAGAGGACATGGGGGGGGGGCATGTGGTTGGTAGGGGGATACAATATAATGCCCCCGTTGAGCCCAAGGGCGACGCCTGTCGATCAGGAATCGCACAATGCGGCGGGCGGGGGCGGTGTAGGTGCAACCAATCCGTACCAACGGCGTTGAATGTCGTGTCGTGCATGGGGCGTCGTGGGGTGCGCACATGGTGCATGGGGCGTAGTCGAAGGCGGGGGCGTGGCGGAAGGCGGGGAGGGGAGGGGCACGGCGCGCGCGTGCCCCGGCTGGGTGGCCGATCGCACTGAGCGCCGCCGCTTGCTGCGCGCGCTGGCACCCCTACCGCGTAGCGCGCGTAGAGGCACGCCCATCACGCCGGTTCGGAGGTGCGGGCGAGGGGCGGGAGGACGGCACAGGCGGCCTGCGCATTCCTGCTTCGGAATGAGCTGGGCGAGCACCTATGGATGGTGTGGGGAGCTGGGGTGGGGCCCCACGGTGGGGGTGCCTGTGAATGACACGCCGCGGCGCTTGAAGCCGCGCGGGTACATGTAAATGGTTGCAGCGCGCTCGCACACGCTGCAGCCGTTCTAGGCATCATGTTAGTGATACTTGTTGTACAGATAATCTAGAACACACACCTGTAGGGGACTCCCCAGAGTCCCCGCGCCCCATCCTTGAAGAGTCTGCGCCCATCGGGCCGCTGTTGAGCGGCCGGCGCGTCGCGAGTGGCGGCGAGAAGGGAGATGTACGCGTTACGTCACGTCACGAACGCGCTCATTTCGAGCGCGTTCGCGGCGAGACGCACCGCGATTTCTGCGGATCGTACTTCTGGATCGGCCTGATTTCGTATATACATACCTTGCTAGATGTAATATACACAAATATGAGATGATTAGGAGGCTAACACAGTCAGAACACACTGCAATAGCTTTGAGCAGCTCAATGCTATCCCTCAAGAAACAGTGATCAGTCCTATCTGATTTTTCTAGGCTTTATATAGGGCTCCAAACACCTGTAGGTAGTACAGTAGGGCTACCTACACATGCTCCAAGCCGCACTGTAACGAGGTCATTGAACAGTGGCTCAGACTGGCCTCCCTCAACCCTTATGCTCGACTGGAATCTGAGCATGTTCACTCCAGAGTTCAAAGGTTATATCGAGCTGGTTTTGAACTTAAACTCGACGAAATTTTCAGATTCCAGGACTATCAGCAGTACCCTAGATGCCCCCGCCATTGAAAAGGCTCCCGCCCGCTTCCGAAAACCCGCCGCCGTCGATGCGCGCGACGGCGGCGGGGGTCGGAATTCTGGTCCGAATCGCCGCGCGTCCGCAATTAGCGGCTCTCAACCTTCAACCACACCACTCCGACCGCACAGCTGCCCCATCCCCACTCCCACTCCCTTCATCGACTAGGCGGACCCCCAAAACGACATGCATTGAAAGATTCAACAGGCGATCGGAGCTCAACAAGCCCAACCGAGACGGGGGAGGGAAGTGCGGGCGGACGCGCCGCAGGTGCGTAGCTGCGCCCTGCACCGGTCTTTCTACTGACTCATACATTACAGCTTATGACGGCGGGCGGCGCGAGCGCACCACGCCCTCGCCACGCCCGCGACGGCGCCCCGATCGCGCCCCGCGGGTCGCCACCATTCTGTGACAAGACGCGTAGCGCCTGGCATGCACCCCGCGCACCGGGCGCTCTTTCGCGAGGCGTCCCGTCCCCCTACACCCCTTTACCCCCCATGCACGCCTAGCGCGCCCTCGACCAAGAGCTAAACCGCTCGAGGACTCACCGCACTGGGACTTCGCGGTGCGGCTCTTGGTCAGGGCTCAGGGCCTCTCACTTGGCTGTGAGGGGGCGGGCGACGCTCGCACTACGTGTGCGCGTCGTGCGCGTTTCTGGGAGCAAAGCCGAACGGCATGGACGGGTACAGACGCCGCCACGCGCGCCGCATCCTCGCCACCCGCCACCCGCCACCCGCGCTCCCCCTGCGCCTGTGGCGCCTCCCCCGTTCCCTCTGCAAGTTGCAGAAGTAGGACAACGATGTCCGTCTATGCGGACGCGCGCCTCGGCACCCCCCCGCAGCCCATGCCGTTCCATTATGCCCACGCCGCGCGCGCCTGCCGCGCCACACCCTCTTTGCCCGCCAAGCCCCTCCTCCGGCTCGTCACCCATTTAGCATGACCTCCCACCACTCCCTATCCCCTCCCCCACCCGCGCGTCTGCTGGCTCGTCCCCCGCTTGCTAGGCGGACGCGCAGCGCGCCAGCGAAATTTTTCGCTGCGCGTTTACGCGCTTTTCCGCGTTATTTCAGCCACCCCCACCTTTATTTACATGTATAGCATAGATATCATATAATATATGTGTTTTCTGATACCTAGGAGCGACGGGGGGGCCGCCGCCAGCAACGGCGCCGCGCGCGCGCGCCCTGCGCGGATTCCGATCGCCCGACCTTCCCGTTTGGGCAGCGCCATCAGTCGCGCCCGGCGAGCGCGCGGGCAAACCGCGCACGCGACGCGAGCCCGATGCCCGATTAGGCGAGCACGCGGGCCACAGCCCTGCACGTGCCCGAAGGCCCGGGGCCTTGCCACAAGCCTAAGACGGAGTTTGCCGGCCCCGACGACCTTATCATATGTGTTGCAACATGACGTCTGATAGTAGCCGGTATGTATTACAATAGGGAGACAGCATAAGGTGCTTGAGGGCAGGCTTGCAGCACTTGGTAAATCGTCTGCGTGCCGCCGCCGCTTGCGTTAAGCACCCTGCTCAGCACTCTGAAGTGCCCTTCCCTCACCGCGCGCTGCACACTACACCTCACACGCGAACGTTCGAACGCTGAGCCTCTCCACGCGCCCCGTCTCCCATATATCTATCCCTCCATTGAGCGCGACGACGGCGACGCTCGGAGACCGATCTGAGGCGCCCGTCGTCCGTGATCGATGTTTCTCTCCCAACCAGCTCCCAACCACGATGACCACGGCGCGGTTGTGCTTGGTCTCCACATCACGATAACCTATCCCATCGCTTTTGCTACGTCTTCCTCGACCTCAACACAAAACAGGTTGTTCAAATGGTGCCGACAATGGACATGGCGGGCGAGGCGCTGTGAGCGCCCACCCGCCCAGGTACGTATGCTACGCCAGCATAGTATCCTCAAAACTGACTCACGTGATGCTTCCAGGTTGCACCACGCTTTTACGCAAGACAGGGCCTGCGAGGGGCGGCACCGAAGCCGCCAGCGGTCGCGCGACTGACTCCGCAATGACACTGCGGTGCTGCCTCGCTCGTCCTCGACGCAGTCGGCACAGGCGCACGAGCAGCGCCTCAGCGCTGCTCGCTACCCGTCATTGCGAGCAAAGCAGGCGGCGCGTGACTTCCTAGCCACTCGCGCCCACGCTTCTCGCCGCATTTGGGAAGCTCCGACCTCGCACCACGCTCGCAGCCGCGCATGGTGTCGCCTGCCGGCACGCCCAGCGCAATGACAACGCTCACACCTCCATCACCGTCCCCGCCCGCCTCTCCGCCTTTCACCACCCACCCTTATCTCTCGCGATTTCCGTAGTCTCCCGTGCTCACCACACCGCCTCCTTCACTCGCGCCCCTATGCTGTGCATTACCTCTGCAAGGCCGACAAGCCCACTCGCCGTGCGTGGGCCTACGATGGGTCCCTCGATCACAGTCGCGTCGAACGCGTGCCATCTCGCGCGGATGAATGTGCCTTCTCTCGCGCTACGGCCCTGCTCCAGGCCGAGCCCCCCACACCCCTTGCCGTGTCCGGCGCATCAGGCGACTGGCCTGCTCGTTGCGCAAGGTGTGCTCTCGCCCCGCTCGTGTACTTTTGCATGCCCGGCTGCTACTGCAGGTGGGGCAACTACAATAGCAGTATGGAACCATATTGATTGCAATCATGATTTTAGTACCTAGTATAAATGGTCACAGCCTTCAAGTCTTGTGGTAAGGTTGCTCTCCTTGCGTAAGTTGAAAATCTTGTCGTCTTATTGATCTGGAAAAAGTCGGCAAGAAGAACAAGACACGTAGCAGCTGATGCTGTAAGAGCGGTTTAAACCAACCCCGACAAGTATCGTAAGTGTGGTTTAAACCATAGCGACAATCTGTCGGGGCCTAAAAACTGCCAAAATTATAACCAACCTTAACAACCTAACCATCCTAACTATTCTAACCATCTTAACATGCCTAACCTACTTTAAATGAGCCAGTGCTTATCATATTAAATAACCATCAAGATATTGCTAGCCAAAGCCATAATGGCTTAGCTGGTTAAAGCACCAATCTTCTTTGATGAGGAGGTTGAGGGTTCAAACCCTGCTGTTTACACAATTAATTTTGCCAGTTTTTAGGCCCCGACAGATTGTCGCTATGGTTTAAACCACACTTACGATACTTGTCGGGGTCGGTTTAAACCAGCCCTACAGCATAAGGTGCCTTGTTTGCTCAAATTCACTCCTTTTTTGGTCAACCCCTCGTAGGACATAACCCCACAAACTCCATGCCCTGGACCGTCCACCGAGGGGTATGGGTTAAGAGGGGTTCAACTGTAGATGAGGTCTTGCTCAGCTAGGCGCTTGCGGGGCTCATAACCTTTCACGAGCTAAGGATGCGCAGGACACGTAAGACCTCAGTCTTCCTGCAGTGAGGGTAAAGACTGATATTCGTACCTAAGGATGCGCAGGACGCGTAAGACTAAGGTACTGTTAGCTGAGGATAAAGTAAATGTAGCGTAAGACACACCCTCAGTCTTCCTGCAGTGAGGGTAAAGACTGAGGGGCGGAAAAGGGCGGAGCCCCTATAAAAGTAAGCGTTAGAATTCCCTAATCGGGAATTGTAAGGGTGCAAGGTACTTAGATGCACCGTGTGACGTGACACGGTGCGTTGGGCTGAAGGCAGGCTCGTCCGCCTACCCACCACTTTTGACAGTCTCGTGCCTTTGGCATGTTGGCGTCCTCATTCCTGGCTTCTTCTGAGCGACCTTTCGGTGGGTAGTCGTTCAGGTCGTCTTCCCCTTGGTTCTGTCCCGCTTCTTCCATGACAAAGGCACGGTAGACTTCGTGCGTAGAGTCAATGCCTAGGCCCGCAAGGTGAGTCTTCCATATCATAGTGTGCGCCTCAGCTTCCTGACTTGCCATTGCCATTTCAACCGCGAAGTCGCCCTCGTCCAATGCCATGGAGAATACAGATGCAAAGGGTCCATCCTTTTCTCCGTCGCTTATTTCTTCCCAGTCTGGTACCTTTACTTGTGACGACAGTTCTTCTACTATAAGGCGGGTGACCAGCTTCGCAAGCTCCGTGGTCAATCCCTGTACCTTTTGTAGTTCATATTCTAAGGCCGGTGTCCCTTTTACTTGTACCGCGAGCGTGCTAGGCTTGTAACACACCTGCAACAGCCCTTGTGTCAATGGCAACGGGTTCGGGAGTACCGGAATTGCTTTTCTATCCCAAAGGTTGTCGTCATAACCCTTCAGGTAATTTTCTATGTCGTGTCTCATGCTAGGCCACCAGTATTTGTCCTTCAGTAGCCCCCATACTTCCACGAAGGTAGCGTTGTTAACCACGGACTGAGCTTGATTCATGAGAAACCATCGATCTCTAGGCCAGACCAGCAACGCGCTCCCCCCCTTCGATTTATGGTATATTCTCCCGGATTTTGACATCCGGAAGCCGGCAGCGAGACAGGCCAGCTCGTCCCACTTCAGCGGCGACAAGTCTATGGGATTCTGACTGAAGTAATCCCTTAAATGCCACAAGTCGTCGTCCAACGGGTGATCTTCTTCAGACCTTGGTAGTTCGCGATAGCGGGCCAGAGATTCCTCATCCTTCAGGTTCTCCACAGGATCGGGTAACCGGGGTGGTTGGGCCACGCCTCGCGATGCCAGTAGCACACCCAGTGTAGGCTCTCCCCCTCGCGCGACACAGTCTTGCTTAAACTGTAGAAACGCCATCTGCACCTTCTTTTCTCTTGCAAACAGATCCCTACGCGGTATGCCAGGCGAGCTGAACTGTACATAACCTCCCCGGGTGTCTATGGAGTCTCTGAACTCTTCCAGATCCAAAGTATCATCGGGTAGGCCATATTTCACTTCAAAACCTCGTAAGCCTTGCAATTCCAGGTCCCCTCCGTCAGTTCTAGCCCGACGCTCGTCACCCACGTAAAGCGGTCGACGAGATAGACCATCCGCTATAGAATGTGATTTGCCAGATACGTGGCGTAGTGTGAAGTGGAATAGAAGAATATGTTCGATCCAACGGTTGATCGTTGCATTCGGACCACTCACAGGGTTCTTCAGCATGCCGTGTATATATTTTGCGTCTGTCTTGATGACCAGATGCCTGTGTTTGGATTGGTGTTCTAGCACGCTCTCGTGCTTACTGAAAGTAACCCATGAACGAAACGATACCACGAATCGGCCCACGCTCGCTCAGTCATTCTCATGATATAGGCTCAAATTTGGCAAATTGTTCGTGTTTACGGTATAGTAAACGTATAAATAATTTCAGAGGGGTCGGCGGTGATTTGAGCAAAGGGGAGGGGGAGGAAGCGTGAGGCGGGGAACCCCGGTTATACCCCTCAGCGAAACATCCGCCCTGCGCAACGACTCGCCTGGTCGTTCACTGTACGTTCTTGTAGGAATGTCTGTCTGGGTCCAATAAAGCTACCTACCATGTGTGGAGAGGTGTATTGAACGGATCATCCTGCAAGTTTGCTGAACGTGTCGTATTGTGGTTGGTAGAGGTCATCCTCCTGTTCATGGCAGTCCGTGCTACACAGTGCAGCTCTTGGTCTGAAATTCTGTGTGCATACATCTGATACTTGCCTATACACCATATAATATTCTCGGAATTCTCAGAGACCTCTGGGCGACGCCATCCGGGTGTTTCATTGAGGGGGCCTGTTTCGGTTAGGGGTTACTTTCAGTATGGTATTTTTCTCCGATTTTCCCTGATTTTTCCCATGCCGTTATCTATTGAGTGAGGAAAGCGAGCACAGACACGAACACGAACACAAAAGGTGATGGTTCAGGACAAGAGAATACAATGGAAACAATAACTACCTAATCCGGTGGACTTCCCCATTGGGCCGGTCCAAGCACACCAGTCCCAACACTCCCACCTGTGCGCCGGACCGCAAAAGAACTCCCACCTAATCAAGCTCCCACCTAATCCTGCAACTCCCACCGAATGTGCATCCTCCTATATCCATCACGAGAAGAGAATCATCTTTGGCGCATTCCTGGAGGAACGAGGGGCACAACCCTGGCGGACAGAAGCGGTGGCCGAGGACGAAGGGGCGGGGGAAGCGAGAGGCGGTGAAGAAGGAGGGGAGGGGGACGACCGACGAGCAGGAACGACATACGCGCCATAAACCTGATCCACCTGGAGCTGCGCCCTATCGTCTTCTTTGATGTCCTCCACGTTCCCCTCCTCGCCTCTAATCTGCTGTCCATCTATCATCTGACGACTCAGAAGGGATATGAGGTGCGCATTGTGGACAGGACCACATCATTCTACCACGGAGGTGCGCTTGTCTGCACTGCAAGTGTGGATGGGTCAAACACGGGCTATCTCGACGGCTACATCCGGCCACCGCGTGTGCAGAGCGCCGGCGCTGCGTCCACCACGCTCCCTCTCGACGCCTCGCTCTGGCATCGCCGCTTCGGACACGTCAACCACGGCGACATCGGCAAGCTGCGCAGTCGCAAGCTCGTTAAGGGCATGCGCTTCGACACCTTCAACGCGCCGGACCTGATCTGTGAACCGTGTATCATGGGGAAGCAGACTCGGAAGGCCGTTCCGCGCGGTCCGGGAGAGCGCGCAACGCGGCGTCTACACCCTACATCGGTTGGAAGCGCAAGAAGCCGGATATCTCGTACTTCCGCGTCTTTGGCTGCCTCGCCTACGTGCTAGTGAAGAAGCGGCACCGGCGTGCGCTCGAGCCGCACTCGCAGAAGTGCATCTTCATTGGCTACCCGCCCGGCACCAAGGCCTGGCTCTTCTGGAACCCAGCAACCCAGAAGACGCTCATCTCCTTGCACGCCATCTTTGACGAGCGCTACATGCCGGGGAACTCTACCAAGAGTATAAACTTGATTACCGCATCGCTCCTGGACAGAGGTGAGGGACCACCGGACTTTGGGGATGCCGCAGATCAAGGGGGTGATGGGGAATCACCTCCTAATCCCGAGTCTGACGATAGCGATGATGACGCTGTCTATGATCTGCCGCCTCCCCCATCCGGTCAGCCCGCTCCTCCCGCTCCGCAGTTGCAGACGCCGCCGCCCAGTTCGCCGCCTCGCGCGCCTACGGTCGAGCCACCTACCACACCGCCTAGCGCGCCTGTGCCCGCACCTCAGGCTCCACGTTCTGTACGTGTTGGAGCACCCAGCCTGCTGCTTCAGCGCGGCCGCCAGAAAGAGCAGGAGCAGGTGCAGCAGCGCGCTACGCGCCGTCGCCCGCCTTCACCTGAGGCACCGCCTAATCGGGGGGAGGTGCCCGAGTGGCTGGCAGAGCCGCCGCGACCGCCGACCGATCCATTTGCAGGCCCATCGCGCCCAGTGCGCCAGAGCGCACCACGCTTCAACATGAGCGAGCGCGCATTGCAGGAGCGCGCTATGCGGCCAGCCGCACCACCACCGCCTAGCCGTTGGGCTAGCGGTCCGCCCGTCGTGTCGCCCAACCGCTATGGGCCGCTTGAAGCGAGTATAGAGGAGATTGAGGAGTCGGAGGATGAGAAGGAGCAGGAGATGGAGAAGGAGACGCCCCCTGTCGAGCATGACTCTGGGAGCGGCAGTGACGATGAACTGCTATTGAAGGACGACACCGCCGTGCCTGGAGAGCATGCCATGCAGGCCGGACTCGACTACGTCTTTGATGGAGTGCAGGAGGAGCAGTGGTCAGTCGAGCAGGGCCTGGATTACGCTTACTCGTCCGTTGTCCCAGCAGATGTGCAGCAGACCAAGCCGAGGACGTTTGCAGAGGCATTGCACCGCCCCGACCGGTCGAAGTGGATTGACGCTGCGTTTGACGAGATGCAGGCGCTGATTGACAACGGCACGTTTGAGCTTGTCCAGCTCCCGCCCGATGCGCGCGCTATTGGCAGTCGGTGGGTGTTTAAGGTCAAGCGCAAGGCTGATGGTTCTATCGAGCGCTACAAGGCGCGCTGCGTCGCTCAGGGCTTCTCGCAGCGCCGCGGCTTCGAGTACACCGAAACCTTCGCGCCTACGCCCAAGTGGTCCGCCATCCGCGCTATCCTCGCCCTCGCCGCCATTGAAGACCTCTGTTCACAGCGCAGAACTAAGTCAACTAGAGCGGTAGCAACCAAG